TTCGGATGGCCAAGCACCCCTTGATGAAACGACACTCCCTGCAGCTCGGCGAACTGCTCCAGCGCCTTCCATTCCGGAACCGCCCACAACGAAGCAAATCCTGTCTCTGGCTCCGTCAGGCTCTGGCTAGGGTATCCACCCCTCATGTCCTCGCGAGGATCCTCAGGATTTTCAAAGATCAACGATGGAGCAGTCTGACCTACCGCACGATTGACCGAGTAGGCTACCACAGCAAGGATCATGATCCGAAGGATAAGTAAATCATCCATCCTGCGTTGCGCCTGTTCCCGGCAGTCAAGATCCTGAATCCCGTAACATCCGAGGCTTTCACCCCTGATCCTCAACGGTCTGTGGAACTGCTCTCGTCCCTCCTTGAGGTACCTAGTCCAGGCAAACGTTCTATACGGTGGTGCGCCAATGATGCCCTTCACCCTTCCTCGGGAGGCTTGTTGAAGGAGATAACGAAACATGCTGTCCGACAAGAGATTCTCGGGTCTCTCTACAGTAAGGAGTGCAATCTTGCTTCGGTCTGCCAGACCCTCGTACACACGCTTGCACCCCGCGCTGAACAAATGCACTAACACTCCATCAGCCTGCTCACATCTCCGCCTCATCCTCCGATTCCAAGCAAACGGCTCCCTATCTTGATCCTGGATTGACACAGCCGCCTGCGACAACAAATCACGGTCGATGTCTGGGAAAACCCGCTTCAAGAGCGTATGCATCGCTGCATCTGCATGGGAATCCCGTTGCACCACGATGCCGGCTAAATCCTCTACGCTCAACTTCTCCAAATCCTTCATCATACAATGCATCCGGGCGCTCCTACACTCATTTCGCTCAACCAGTGCTTCATATTCCTTGATGAGAGAAAGAGCCTCAGCCTCTGCGACCTCTGGACACCCAGAGCTAGAATCCAATTCCAGTTCTCCCCGGCTCGGATGCCAGATCCGACACTTGTACGAATCCCACTCAATCTTGAAACCCAGTGACAAAAGAGCCCTCACAGATAGGATAGGCGAAACAGGTGTCCTACTGAGCAAGGCCCCCTGAGGGTTCACAAGGAGCTGGCATTCCCCAAACGCAAGCTTCACCCCAACCAGAGGCAGGTCTTGTTCATGCTGCTCCGCCGTTCTAAGACACGAGGTCGCTCCCCGTCTATAAGGCCTCGAGCCTCTCCTCGGTGCGCCCTGCATAACAGGTCTGTGGCCGTCTTAACAAACGGCTTCAGGGCTGCCAGTCGCATGCTTTGAAGAAGCTGTGCCGCTTCTTTTATGGCTTCTTGGCTTAAACCTGACGACTGCTGACCTGTGGCCTTTCCGGATGCGCCTGGCTTTCCTTTCCCACCTGCACTGCTCTCGGGTGCCCCCGTTTTCCCTTTTCCTTTGGCGCTAGCCTCACCTGGTGAAGGCTTTTGGTACTTCCCTCCCCCCGGTGCCACGCAATCTGCTTTCTGGTGGGACCCCCCACATGCCCAACATTTGCCTACCCTTTCAGCGGTGTGAGCAAACGTACACGTCTTACCAAATCTACACCCTTTGTCTGTCATCCACCCCACACACGGCTTCTTAGCTCCGGCGTTAGGCTTCCCTTCAGTGCTGGGGGTTCCCTGTTGCTCACCCTTGGTTCCAGTCGCAGCCTTGGTACCCCCCTTACCCTTTACAGGATTGTCTACGCCTACAGAAGCTACTCTCTGTCTCTTGGGGTTGCTATCTGGCACTGCCACCGACAACAGCTCAAGCTCAGACAGCACAGTCCGGGCGAACTCTTCCACCGTTTCCAACTGTGGACGCGTGTCCAACTGAAGCTGCATCCGGACCGAATGCATCCTGAAATTCATCGAAGGATTCCCCTGCAACAAACTCGCCAATGCTTTGTCCAAGCTGTCCAACAACAGTGACGAATCTGGTACTGAAATTCCCATAGATTTAGCCCTTTCAAGATGTCTGAACCATTTCTGCATTCCCCCTACCCCTGCCATAGCAGACTCAAATGAAACAAGGCTTGTAAGGCCTCGGAGGAGCTCAGCCCTTTCGTTCAAGCCACCAGGTTGGAACGTCCGCAATGTCAGGAATACTAAGCCGACACAAGTCACATTACGATTGGCCAGGGCCTGCTCGTAAACAACACTCGGCAAAGCTTTAGATAACATCGCTACACCCCGGGACTCAATGCGCACAAAAGGCTCCTGAAGCATGCTATTGTCTGGCTTACCTAAGATCCTTGCCCTTTCCAACGGCTTGGCCTTGCTCCACTTGTCGTACTCAAGGCGCGCTTGATTCAAGACTTCCTGCCACCAAATGTGAGCACGCGGTGCTAGGTCTGACATCAAGGGTGTCACTTTATAGATCCAGTCGTTGCAACGCATAGCCGGGTTGGCTTCCGCATTAGGGGCAGCAAGCACTGGCAAATCCCAGTATGTACGCTCCCCAGGTGTGAAGTCTTTAACACCTGAAGTACCACCCGAAGCACCACCCGACGTACTCTCTGGCATCGAACCCTGATTCAGACCCATCACAGGAGATTCGGGAGGAGGAACTGCCGGAAGACGAGTCCTGCCCGGAGTCGCCGGCGAAGCATTGGCCTGAAACCCATACGCACCCTTCTGCCTGGGAGGGTGAGGTGCCGGAGATCTAGATTGCCTTCGATAGTATCCGGGTCTAGAACCATTAGGGGACCAACTAGCAACCCTAGGTTTCTGCGGTGCCGGTGGTGGCGGTGGTGGGACTTCGTCCTGCTCTCGCTGGGGCTCCATTTCTCTGAAAGGGGAAGTCGCTTTGGCACTAAACGGGTTGTTAATTCCCCTATCATCAAAGTTCTTATCAGGTCCGACATGCCTGGATGCTGGCACAGGAGGACGGTTAGGGGCGACAGCCTCACCCTGTTCACCATCTTGTATTTCAAAGTACTTAGGGGACTCCGAAGCTATAACAACCGTGCCATGCTCATCTACAGTGCCACTGCGCGGTACCCCATTAATCATAACCGTGACTACCCTGCCCATACAACCCGTCCCATAAGAACCAAAGGCACTGTCTATAGGCCTATAGGTCTAGGGGCATGAACCTCTGTAACAGGCTTGGGCATTTGGCTGCTCAGGGGTTCAGTAGGAGGGCCTAAATAACCTCTAGGCTCTACAACCTGTGCACCCAAGTCCGTGACCGGCACAGCCGCCTGTCTGTACGCATCGGCCAGAGCTGGAAAGCTCACTTCCTCAGCCTTTTGCGGGATCTGTCCTACAACCTGGACTGCAGGAGTGTCTCGGAGAGTGAGGCTCTGAAGTGCCCTTGTAGCCGCCAAGAGATGGTCCCCGGGACCGCTAGCTGGCAAGCCTGACGAACTACTGTGCTCACCACTCGCGAAGCTAGTCCATGGAGGCTGAAAAGTCCTAACATTGGAAAACCAACCCTCTTCTTTAGGACCTCCGACACCCTTCCCACTTCTTGGCCTTTGAACCCCAGACCTTTGATTGCCCCTACCCTCATCTACTCCTACACGCTCCCTATGTACAGGATCAATCCTATCTCTACCACACTCGTCGGAAGTTCGGGAGCGGCCTTCGGCCACTTCCAATCTCAGATGCTCATTCTGTTCCATCAACTGCTGAACTAGCGCTTCCAACACTTCAGTGCGAGTGGCCTCCGAAGCAGTCAGACGAGGAGTCGCCCTCTGTTGAACCGCTGCATCCGACTCCCACCAAATCATGGTTGCGTCTCGTTCAGATCCTTGAGCTTGGCTCCCAATACCATTGAGACGAGCAGAACCTGACCACATGTAGCCGTGGCCTTCTCCAAGATGCTGACCATGCTGACGGATCCCATCCCGTTCGCCAGGATGTCTGTAGAAACCAAGGTCCCTCGGAACCGAGGCTCCTACCTCAACATTCATCACTCTTTCAGCTCTCCTGGGTGCAGCCCCATCCCTCGCAGTCAGATTACCTTGATTCCCAGGGACAGTACCGTCGCCCTGATCTGGAGACCCATTGCCTCCTTCAACCGACGCGAAGTCGTAGTCTGGTTCCGCTCCCTCAGCGGCCTCTGCACTAGCCAGCAAATCGGCTGCTTGCTGTTCCGGAGTCCGCTCTCCACTCCTCTGAGTTCCTGCAAGCCCAGACTCCTCTCCATCCGTCCAGCGCTCTCCAGAAAACGGATTATTCCCCTCGGAGAAGCCCAAAGTCAAGCCGCCTTGGGACTCCTGCTGGGGACCACTCATCTGCCCATATCCAGGCTCGTCCTCAGAGCCTACTGCAGATGCCATAGCGAAGCGACAGGGAGCCGGCTTGGGCTCATAACCTGCCGAAAGGCGGGTCTGAGCAAGCAAGCGGACTTACGCCCTTCTTTTACCACCAAGCGAACAAACGACGTGTAAGAATGCTTCCTGAGCTGTACAAGTCAACCTCAGAATGAGAAGCAACATCTGTCGTTATGGTACACTTCTTGATTTGTGTGTGTCTAAAAAAGACTGACTGCTGAAGGTCTGGGCTCCTCGGCCTAAGCCTACCTGAACCCTCGTTTCCAGCCAACATGGCTAGCAGCACCCCTCTGGTTGCCTGAGCACACAAGCATGTTGCAGACGCTGATCTCCAAACAGTTACAATGTACGAGTGTTGTATTGTACGATAGAAATACGTCATGTTTTTTTTTTATGATCCTCTATCCTGTCTTGGTTTTCTTCTGCATTGTTGTGCTAGGTGATGTAGTATACTACCTTTACGCATGCAACATGGAGCGGCCACAGACACACTGTGGCATCGACAAGTGTCACGGATCCTCTACGCTAACCAACGCGCGGTCTAGCGACTATCTGGCTACCTCCCTGTAATTATGCAAACACGGAAGGCTGCACACCGGAATTTATTTTGTGGTTTCTAACAGGGCTTCAGGAACACATCCAAGGAAGCGCAACCCCGCTCACCGTGGCAGTGTACGCCTCGCATCCCGCTGAAACTGCTCTATCTCTATCCCATCTCTGGACGACATGATGCTCGTGCTGCCGAGTGCCTGCACCGAAATGAAGTCATTGTTGTTCAAGTCGGCTGAGGCAAAGATCGCATGTTCTTGCTGACGGAACCGGGAAGCCAGAAGCGCTCGAAGCACCACCACACTTGCATTCCTCACTTGCTGTCGCAGCTCACTGGTATTTGTACCTGTCTGACTCCCGGTCACACTCTACACATTAGCGGCACACGTGTTCCATCATGTGTCACCGCAAGAGTCCAAGAGGTCCAAGCACTGCTCTTGCTACTGCTAACAGCTAACAGTTAACACCTCGTCCAACATCGACCACTGGCGAGCAGCTGGGTCAGAACTGCCAGCTGACTGGACACCACCACGCCAAACTGGCACATGTCCAGGTCCGAGAAGACCTTGGGGCAGAGGTGTCGTTCTGGCCTCCGAGGCTTTGAAGAACTTCTTGGAACCTCTTCGCAGCCTTCAGGCGGCCTAGCGGCGTGCGGCACGCTTGCCGGCCCAAGTGCCAAGTATCTTCAGGGGCCGAAACAAGACGGCGCATGTGTGCCGTGGTGGTGCAGTGGCGTTGCAGCGCCAGAGTTCCAAGTTCTCCGTCAAGGACCACACTCCGTGAAACCCGTGCTGCCTCCAGGCGAACTGCTCCATCTCTGCTTGGTTGACGCCACCATCCCTGGACTCGCCACGTCTCAAGTCTCAAACACTGCTCTCCGCTTCTTTATGCAAGCAGTGGCCGGCTTGAGCTGAGAAAGTGCTGTTTTCTCCTTTCAACTGCTCCAAACACCACAAGCACCATCTCTTCCTCTCTCGCTGTCAGCCGTTCTTGCACGTTCTTGCTTTTTGCCACTCTGTGTACAGAACGCGAGTTTAACCATTGACTATACCCACCGTTGTGCTTGTTGCAATGGAATAAGGGCTTGTCGGGTGCTATGGCCATCGCACTGTGTGCGACATGTGCGACATCTGAGGGGTTTAGTTATGTTGCGGTGTCGGGTGGCCGGTCAGGGCATTCATTTTCGCCAAGCATCGCGGAAGTGTCCACCATTCCGAAAAGCGAGGTCCTTAGCATTCACGAACAGGAATCCCTGACCATAGTCATGCCATAGTATCTGGAAATGCTTGCAAACTTATTCCTAATTATGTGTGCTTGGACAGGCAGTGCTCACAAAGCCGAAGCAGATATGACCGAATCGCATAAAGTGTTGCACGACGTTGGGGTTTTAGGTGGCTCTTACGCACCACGGCAGAATGCACACAGAATGAGCAAGAACATCACTTGCACGGCAGGGACGTTCTGTGTGTGTAGCCGCACACCGCCCAAAACTGCAATATTGAGAGGATTGTACATCATGACCTGTCACGCACACATGAACCGGCACATCATGCATGCGAGTGTGTCTGGGAGCTCGTGTACCGATGCTCGGTCGAGCGTCGTTCCGGAAAACTCCACAGTGACCAGGTGTCGCAACAGTGGCAAATCCACAACTTCTGCTGTGACGGCCCACCTCAATGAGTCGCGCAATCGCACAATGCTAAGACTCGCGAAGCACCCCGTGTCTACGAGGGGCCTGTAACAGTACCGAGACCCAAAACGCTTGCTCGGGCAAGCGGCAGCTGCATTGGTCGCAGCCGCATTGTGGTCGAAACATCCAAAGAGTCAAAGATTTCCCGAGCATTTGTGGCATTGCTCACTGCAAGCACAGTACCTGTCAAAGCTGATGAACTCTCTGTGCTGCTGCTGCTGCAGGACTGGCTACACGACACAAGGGGGTCTAGAGTTTGGGGCTTGCACTCAAACAGGGAATCAAGAGCATGAAGCCTTCCTTGCCCGAAGCTGGTGGCCAAAGTAGCATCAGCATCAGCCCGTTTCTCTTTCCACAGGCCGCGTCAAGCCGATGGAGGATTCACCCGTTTCATGTTGCAGCCGCTTCTCACAATGCCGTATGCTCGCTCGGTGAATGATTGGTGCAGCAGTGTTCTTCTCCAAAGTATGCTCATTCGGTGAAGGATTGACCGTTTTCTTGTTGAAGCCACGTTCTCCTCCCAAGTATGCTCGCTCGGTGAAAGATTGACCCCTTCAGTGATGCAGCCCCGTTCATCTCCAAAGCATGTGCAAGATTGACCCCTTTCGCACTGCGGCCGCATTCTTCTCGAAAGCATGCTCGCTCTGTGAAAGATTGACCCCTTTAGTGTTGCAGCCCCGTTCTTCTCCAAAGTATGCTCGCTCGCTGAAAGATTGACCTCCTGCGTGTTGCAGCCCTGTTCTTCTGCAAAGTATGCCTCTTTCGTGTTGCAGCCCCCTTTCTTGTTGCGGCGGTGTTCTTCTGCAATGTTCCCTATGCTGGATCAAAATTGGCCGCTTTCGCGTTGCACCTTGTTATTTTGCACCGTAAGCTCACTCGGTCAAAGATTGACCCATTGTGCTGCAACCGTGTTTTACCCCTGTCGCGGTGTTGCCGTGTTCTTGTCTCAAGTGTCCTTGATTCATAGATGCTTGACCCCAAGTCGGCTGTGCACGATCAGTGTGCTGCTACTAGGGTATGCCAACGAGGTCATGTGTCCCCATATCCACGCTCTAAGGGGCTTTTCAGTAAGCCTGGCGCCTCCAGCATTACGATTAGGACTACCCCATCCCAACCTGCAAATGTCAGGAACTCCGCCAGCTCAACGTTCTGTGATCGGTCCTGGCATCGGCAAAGGCACTCGAAGAGGCTCTTGGGGTACCTTTATTGCAGTGCAACTGTACATTCACTACTGGGGCCACTCGAAGGCGGGTCGATTATCAATTCTGACCGCCATACGGACAACTTGTGTTAATGGTCCTGGTCCGCAGCTGCCAAGGCCTCTTCCTGGCCATCTGCACCTGGGAATTCGCCAAGGGCCAGCAGCCGTAGGTCCACCAAAGTCACGGCCTTCCAGCTCACGTAGCGTGAGACAGTAGTGGGGAATGCAACTTTTGCATCGGAGTGCAGGTGCAGAAGCTCCGGCTAAGTAGCCAAACCTAACGCTGCTGACCTGCACACATGAAGTGCAGGTTGAGCCGTTGGATTGGGTGGTTCGCTCGGACTTGGGCTGGGTCATTGCCACCCCCGCTCTTCTGAACATGATAGGACACCCCACCGAGTACAGCCTAGAATTGCAACGCACCACAGCTTGCGGCCCAGCGACGGTTTGCGAAACGGGTCGGAGTTGCCCAGGTCCAAGCTCTGTGCCACTGGAGTAGTTCCTGTCTCTGAGGTGCAGAGGACTGCACCGGAACAAAAATACCGTAACATACTCCCCAACTTCAAGCTGAGCTCCGGCCCCCTGAACTTGTGAGGCAACGTGGTCTGAAGTTGCTATAAGAATCCCAAAGAAAAACGGCCGCTATGCGTCCAGGATGCAACAATCCGAAGAGAGCCTCGGAGTTCGAGGTTTCGATGCGAAGCCTCAGGGCTTTGGCTGAGGCTCGCTTCTTGCTTCACCGCCTCACTGCTCCCTGCCTCACGCTCCAGCGTATGGGATTGGAAAGCTGACTGCGCCACAGGTTTGGCGTAATGAAACTTGCAACGGGCCCAGGGACAGTGTGCTCTCTCTCTCTCTCTCTCTGCTGGGCATGGGGGACTGTCAAATCCCCCGGGCACAGTGCCGACCAACGTTTTGTTGGGAGCAAGGGAGTGAGTAACGAGTATAAGTCACTTTGAAGCTAAAGCCAGACAGTGTGCTCTCTCTCTCTCTCTCTCTGTAGGGCATAGTGGGCATTGAGGCTTATCGCCACGATTTCGCGCTCTCTTTCTCGCTCTCTTTTCCATCTCCATCCCGCTCCCTGCCTCTCCAACCGTCTCTTTCACACTCTCACGTTCTCCCCAAATGCCTACATCGTCGAACTGATGACACTCAAGCTCAGCGGCAGCAAGCCCATCTCGATGAACTCTGCGAGGTTGATGCCGCCGCCCTGTGACAAGCTCGCGAGAACCCTCTCAGGCCGACTGCTGCACAGTGCCGCTGTGGCATCACAGCGATGTCAATCTCTCTCTCGCTCTCACTGCCAGGCCCTGTCCACATCAGCTCGCTCGATGAGCTCGGTGCTTCCATGAGGCGCCACCTGACGAAAATTCAACTGGGCGTGGACAGAGGCATCCAAGAGCAAGACTTCGCAACAAGGGTACTTGACATCTTGACATCTTCCCGACCAGAAGCAATGACACTCCCCCTTGAAAATGTACAGACAGTTCATCCTGTGAAAGCTCAGCCTCCGCCAGCAGCAGGCGGAGGCCGACCAGTGTCATGGTGCCCGCGAAGAGCCCCTGGCCGGTACAAATAGGAGCTTTCCAAGAGAGCCAACTCTAGTAGCCAGCTCCTGCCTGGTATCGGGCGCGTGACATGAGCCCGGAGGCCAGCGGATCGGCACGGTCGAAAAGTTGCCTTCCCAAGATCTGCAAGCTTTGCGTTTGAGCCCATTTGGGCCCCTGTACAAGCCCGCTCGCTCTCTCTCACAGGCTCTGTCAGCTGCGCACGACTCTAAGTTGGCCCGGGCTGCTCCGAAGTCGCTCGCAGCAGCCACGCCGTCTTGGCGCCCTGGCGCGCCAGAGCACGAGCCGAGGCCGGAAACCTCCGGATCGCTGCAAGCATTCAAACACTCCAGCAGTGCGTATGTGACCGTATGTGTGTGGGTGTGTGTAGGTGTGATTGTGCATCACTTCTTCTTTTCATGGATATCGCAGAAAAAAGCGGGCGGGCTGGCAGGTTGGTCTGTCGAAAGCCGCGCGCATTCGATCGGAATGCATCCCGGTCGCCCCGCAGCAGCCACGGCCAGGTCCTGGACTGCTGCGGCCACCTCACACAAGGAACCCACACCCGTCATCACAACCCTTGCTGTTCTTATCTTACTACTGCCAACGGCAACACCACTACTGCAAGTACTGCTGCTTCTACTCAGTAGTGAGTCACTACTCCAACTCCGACTGCAACTGGACCTGGTGAAAACTCCCAGTCGCTGAACCAATTTAACCGGCAGCCTGCTTGAATTCTGATTCCATCCCGTTGAAACTGACATCATATTTCAGCCTCGGACCAGCTAAAACTACGGCAGTCTCCATAGAAACCAAACGGGTCCTTCAAACCGCATCAAAGCCGTTCTTGGGAATTCTCAAACGTCAGAACCTCCCTGCAGTGCTGAACCGGGCTGCATCGCCGAAGTAACTTTGCAGACCTTTGCAGATGAGGTGGCTAAACTGGTAGTTTGCACAGACGCTCAACTGCAGAAAGACGGTTTCAGAAATCAAGTACTCTTTCCTTGAACACCCTGTGCTGAGACAGTCAGAGGTACAGCTGCGGTAGCTCGCCAGTGAGCCGCGCTGGAGGACAAAAGGCATCCTTGAGGTTCAAGGCATCCATACAAAGCTGGTTCATTGTTCCGGCTTTGGGCTGTTGCAGCCGTTCCCGTCCTGGCCAGCGACATCGGAAAGAGGTCCACGAAGCCTTGGCTCAGGTAGTCCATCTCCGCGTGCAGGGCCAAAGCTTCGACCTCTGTCAGGCAGAAGGGCATCGCCTGTCGGACGAACTCCTCCGGTGTGACCTGCGGTCTTCAAGCTGCACACATCATCTCTTCATGTTTAGAGCTACCTCTTCTGTTTAACCCTGACGCGCTTCGTTCGGACGAGGTACCCGCAGGTTCCCGTCCGTGTCAGCATCCCAGAGGGTCTGGTTGAGATCGCCGAGCTCGGGCTTCACCAACTCGCGGTAGTCGCAAAGAGCCAAGGGGCCACGAATGAGACGCAAAGTGTCCACGGTGAGGTAGCCCAGCTGCCCGGGGTCCAAAACCGCGAAGAGGTCCCGTGCGTTTGCCGAGGTCACCCGCTTCCTCAACAAGCCTGCTGCCCATTCCTGTTGGCTGATCTGGCCGTCTTGACTTGTGTCCAGAAAAGCCAACACGTCCTCCACTGTCGGGTGGTCCTCACAGGCAGCAGGCTACACGTGGTGCAATTAGAACCTTTGGTCAAGCCCCGGATGTCCGCACGCAGAAGGATGCGCAGGCTGGGGAGTGTCAGGTCATAGCTTATGGCATCCAGCTGGCGCTCCGTCAGACGCAACAGAGTCGGAGCCTGGACAAAATACACCAAGGCACAAGCAGCTTTACGTCCCGTGGTCATGTCGCTCTCCCTTACTCCTTCCCTCACGCCCTTCTGCCCTACTCCGTCCCCGACCTCCCTGTGGGCCATCTGTTTTCCTGAGCATTAGTCTTGACTACTTCTGTAAATGTCTACGTTTATGTGTGTGTGCGCGTCTTCCTTGTCCTGTGCTTCTTGAACTGAATATGAGCATGCGAAGGGCTGGTTTATGCTGGTCCCAAACCGAACAACCTCATTCAAGGTGTTAATCATCCCGGCAACCCAGCCGCTTCAATCAAGCTTCCCATCAGTCAGAGCGTCCTGACGGCCTCCCTCCCTCCTCTCTCCTCCCGGCCGCCAACACGTCATCTCCCGTCCCGAGCCTGACAGAGTGAAGCCAAAACATCGTCTGCGTTCTCCGCTGTGAGGCCCAAGGTCCGCGTCACGAAGCGTTTGAATTCCTCGTTCGTGACTATCCCACTTCCGTCCGAGTCCATGTTGCTGACCTCGGCACACCACCCAAGAGTCGGCACGAAGAAGCCCCCCAGCCAACGTGGCGAACTGAGTCCCGGGCCACCGCCTCCTTTGTGGCAAAGAGTGACTGCAGGAATCCGCGGAAGCCGACCAACGAGACACCCTCCACACTTCCGAACCCTTGGTTGGAGAGGAGAGCTGCTCGGAGCCGCAGGCAAAGCAAACCCGCAGCCTATGCCCGGTTCGGGAACACTCGTACCAAGCTTCCCAGGGCTACATAGCGCTCGAGGAGGACGTAGCCTTGAAAGAAGACGTCAATGTGCCTCTCAAGCAAGCTACTGCAGGACTGCCAGTGGCTGTAGCACTCGCCGGCTGTTAATCATAACAAAGGCCGGGATGGCCTCCAGCTGAGCTCACCCATCACGGCATCAAGACCATAGTCCTGATGGTGCATGTCCCTCCAAGACCCTTGCAGACTTTCTCGTACTCTCCAGCTGTAGGATCGAATAAACTATGTACAAAGGCTGGTCTGGTCGGTAGAGCTGGTCCTGCAACAGAAAGCCTACGAACTCCTCCTCCGTGACTCGGTCGTCTCCATTTGGATTCGATGCGTTCCAGGCATCATCTACCAGTATGAAACGCACCTGAGCCCAGAGCTGGGTTTCGGACAGTCCCAGTTCACTGAGCTGATACAAGAAAGAAGCAGCAGCAGCAGCAGCAGCAGCAGCTGTCGCAGTCGTCGTCGTCAGTGGTCGCGGTTGTAGCGGTGGTCACAGTGGTGGTGGTGGTGGTGGTGGTGGTGGTGGTGGTGGTGGTGGTGGTGGTGGTGGTGGTGGTGGTGGGGGCGGCGGCGGTGGTGGTGGTGGTAGTACTAGCAGTAGGAGGAGGACAGCAGGACAGGAGGACAGGAGGACAGGAGGAGGAGCAGAAAGCGGCGGCAGTAGCACTTGGATTTTTGACGAACGATAGCAGCACGCCCTCCATTTCAAAGGCTCGGAGAAGGCGCCTGCATCAAGGCGCGAAGAGTCTGCAGGTCATCCTGCCCCATCAGAAGGAGGTAGTGATTACCTTAGTCGGGGTGAATAGGGTTCCGAACCTGCGAGAATGGCAAGACATCCAGCCCAAGCCGCTATCCAGCTGGCTCTGGCCAAGGCGGGCCACTGAATCCCAAATAGCTTCAGCATTCACCTGGTCTACTTCGGTCAACATGCCCAAATCAACACCACACGGGAAACTGGCTACGAGTACATGCATGTGGCGAAAGCAAAGTCAAAACAGGCTGCGGCCCAAGGCTCGGTCGTCAACTCTGCCACAGAGACGACTTGGCCGACGAATTCCTCCTTGGACCTCCAGGTAAACAGTTTCCACAGGCGCCACAACTGCACTACCGACACAACACAAAGCAAATTGATGTGGTCATGCTCATGATCTGCACAAACGACGAGACCGTTCACCGAACGCAGTCGGTGCATCTCGCCGCTACTTTCATCGTGGCATGAACAGTGCCGCTCTCGGCCCAACTGAGCTTTGTGCACAGAGGGGTTGCCATCCAGACTTGCACCCGCAAGCATCTGTGCCTGGTGTACAGTGCAGGTTGGAATGGATGGAGACGGGCCACGGGATGCCACGGGCATGCAATGACAGGTGTTGCGGCTGCAACCGTCTTTTGCCAAGCTGCTGGTGTAAGAAAAACGGAGGCCATGAGTGTGCGGAGCTCGGTGATGCTCACTTCCGGCTCCTTCGGCTCTGGTTTCAAGGAGCCCCCTTAACCCCAGGTGCCACGTGTTTTTTCTTAGTCTATAATCATCTGGTCCAGATATGGGCATCAGCTTGATTCTGTATCTGCTGCACGGTTCTCGTTGGCAAGAACTCTGGCAAGGACGTGTCAAGGGAGGGCTACTCGGCTACTCACCAGAAAAGCAGGCAGTTTCGGGGCTCCAAGACCCTGTACTGCTCCAAGGTGATGTACCTCCAGATGGAAGGAAGGACGAGCGAACACTTGCTAAGTGTGCTGAATGTTCCCAAATAATGCCACTGTGAACTTGCAGGCCCGGCACTGTTGGGTTAAGGTTGTGCCCGGACGGAGCTGGATCTGTTGGTAGAGAACCTGCAAACACCGGCCAGTCGATGCAAAGTTGCACATGGAATTATCCAAATTTGGACGATGCTAAAAGCAGGACTGTGTACAGACTGCATGCATTTCGAAGGTTTCGGTGACCTCCGCGTCTGCAGATCGTGTGACTCCAATCGCGGCAGCTTGAACGAGAAACTCCTCCTCCTCGGCATCGGATAGACCAAAACTCAAGACTGCTTAGGCTTTGGAGCCTGCAATCTGCGGCCTACGTGCTGTGGGCCGCACATGTTAAGCAAACAAGCACGGAAGTGGTTCCTGATGTCTTGCGCCAAGCTTCTGACACCAGGCCATCCCTGTTGGTATCGGCCTCCTGATAGGCCAGCTGTGACGCGCCTTGCCCCTCACCGAAGCTCGCCAGAAAGAGAGCGCGGTAGCGAACCAAGTTCAGCGAGCCCAGGTTCGACTCGCAGGAGGGCGCCGAACCCGAGAACTGCCCATCCCCGCGGCAAAGGAGCTCGGTGGGCCCCACGCGGAGGTATCCCGGGCTGCAGGAGAAGGTGACCACGTCGCCAAACACAAAGGTCCCAGACTCTCCACCCGTACGAAAGCCAAAGTCTGGAATGCCTGCGCGGATTGCGAAAGGGAATTTGCAAGGAAAAGTCACCAGCAGGAGAAGGGCACAGCATGCTTCTTCTTTTCACAGTCTCCGAGGCCCTCGGCCTGGGTCCGGGCACGAGACGATCTGGCACGTCGGCGCAGCAGGGGCAAAGGCGCTGGTCTCACTGATCACATTGCCGAAAGAATCGTAGTCCATCTGGCAGACGGACTGGGCTGAGCCCACCAGTTCATACCCGAACTGGCAAGAAAAGATCAACATGGCACCTCAGATTCATCGGATCTCTGTGGAAGGTTGCTGCAAGTGCAGTTCATGTCACTTCCGGATTAACACGGCTGGGTGCAGTAGCGACACCTTCGGACAGGTCCTCGCCACTCCGGGCTCCATTTAGCGGGATACCGGGGTCTGGGCAGACGGCGAGGTAGGTGAATCCGCCGATGCTGATGGCCTGGAGACTGCAACCGAAGGTTGGACACTGCTAGATGACTGCTTGCAGGCCTCGTTTTGATTCTCGGCCAGCACCACCACATCCACAGCACCCCGAACCTCGCTTTCCGGCGTCAGGGCAACCACGAAGTTGCTCGTTGCAGAACCACCAACGATGAGCCCCTCGGTGCCGCCAAAGAAAACCTGCCATCCAGCAAGGGCTACAGACAAGTTCGAGATTCTTTTATGAACATGATCCTGCCCTGCCCGTAAGGCTTCCCGTTCCCAGCCCGACCGCCACAATCGTCGCATCGAGGTCCGTAGTCTCGATGGTGACACGTGTGCCGCCAGCCATCTCCCCCTGCGGCGGGTTCAGGTTGCTGATGTCGCCCGCCCTATAGTAGCTGTAGACGTTGCCTGGCAGCCCGAGCACTGGATTCAGCTGCAAGCACACTGTAACAAAATCCTGCCATTGTATGGCCGGGAAACTTCCTGTGGCCACATTGCCGTTGGAAGCCGTCACTGTCACCTTTGCTGAAGCAGAGCTGGAAGACCGAATGCTTCACGCATTTTTGGTGTTCGATGGGTATCTTCGGAAGCAGGCGACTCAGAGACTCATCTGCAGCAGACGTCAAAACACTCTTGAATTCAATTAAGCTCTATTTGCGCATCGTCACCGTAACGAGGCCCGACACCGCAGTGGCAGGAACTTCGACGATGGCCCGGATCCCGGGCATACGGCCTGAGATCATGAGAAATGTTCTCTTGAAAGGGGTCGGGATGTTCCAAAACACTACCGTTAAGAGTGTGTTGATCTTGGCTGTCGGCGCTTCTTTGCTTTTCAGGGGTGTTCGGGCCGAAACAGAAAAAAATAAACTTATGTGGCCTCCTCCACAGCCAAAACAGCTTTTCTTGTCGGTGCGGTATAGTGGGTTTGCTTTTTTGGTCTGCTGTTTTGCTGTTGGTGCAAGGGTGTGTGTGTGTGTGTGTGTGTGTGTGTGTTTGTTTTCGCTGTGGGCACTAGTTTGCCGGGGCTTCAGCTGCAGAGCACAACAGCAAAAAGCACCAACAGCACATTAAAAAAAAGACCGCACCTTCCAAAACCATACCAAAGGATGCAGCATAGAGGGTCGATCTCTGGGAAGGGGTTGCTGAAGGGAGGGAGCACGTTTGTGAGTTCTTTTCTGCCAAAGGTTCCGTCTGCAAGAACAGAGGGCGAGTCGATGAACCCGAAGGTTACGCGCACGATGGGTGCGCCCAGGTCTGAGACGTAGATCGTCACCTCGAAGGATGTGCTACATACTTGCGCTTCAATCTCGAAAGAAACCAGGACCTGTGCTTCAACATTTACCCAAGGCCTTGCCAAGGCACGATGTCACCTCCCACGGTTGGCCCGAACGTGTCAGAAATGTTGATGAAGCCACCCCGCACGAAGCGATTGAATATGTCCACCTGCACATGCACATGTGAAGCATGCAGCCTCCCGAAAAAGAGTGCTTCCATTTTCAGAACGCAAAAAGTCTGCCCAATCTGCAACAAGCACCGTTTAAAGAAACATAAATAAGGACCTTCTAGAATCCGAAGCGTTCCTGAAGTACAATGGACGTATCACCAGGGCGAGCCGCGGATGTCGCCCAGAGACCATTCGCTGTAAACGCCGTGACCTGCATTGCCAAGGAAGACCACTCGGATGGAAACTTTGGCCAAGCTCCAGGTCTGTGACTGCATGCTTGGTAGACTGGTTTGCCCCATTCCTAGTAGCATTCTGGAGTTCTGCACTGGTTTTGTAGCTCCTGTCCGTGATTATCGAGGTCCTGAGACAAACCTACGCAAGCGACTCCGGCAGTTCCGAGCCCTGCCGTCTCCAGACCCGGTGAGAAGGCCGCAGGCATCAGGCACTGGACAGCAGTCGTCTCCTGGCAGAAAGAGTTCATACATTGAGGCTTCAAGGAAGGGCACAACGACAGACGCACCTGGCCGAAGACGGGACTGGGAGACAGACAGGGCCGCCTCGGCAGAGGTCGTGGTGTGCGATTTTTGCTTTCGCAGAGGAAAGGCTTTGCACGGGCGCTTGCTTTCCATGCTGACAGGCAGAGGCCTATGTCACCACGATCCGAGGCACTCCAGTCCCTGGGAGATGAAGGTCACGTTGATGATCGGAGCGCCCCTGACAGGAAGTGGAAGATGTGGAAGTGTGACTGGACTGGACCCGTCTCTGCGCTTCCACGCTTAGCTTCTCGTTGTAGGCAAAATCGATGTAGTCTCTGCTCTTGCGATCCCCAGGCCGAGGCACAGGTCCGTGATTTCCAGAAACACAGACACCTGTCCAGCCGGGGTTGAAGCCACCAAGGCACTGTAACCAGTCTCAGGGATCGGCCTGCCCTGCGAGATCCCAGCCGCTGGGGTCCTCAGCGGTCAGGGCCCGGACTGCACTACACCTGCTTTCCAGGTGATTTTCATGTGGTAGTATGCACCGTTCTCGGTGCCTTTTTCTGTGCTTTCTCCGTTTTCACACAGCAACCGGGAACACGGATGGAATCCACAGGTGTCTTCCCAAAGCCGCCCATCAGGATAAAGTAGCTCAGCCCCCAGTCATGCAGCTACAACACCAACGATAGTGTCTTCACACGACACCGCTTTCAAACCCGCTGTGGGGAGTAGCAAGTCTTCTCTGCATTGCGCCTCTGTGCTTTGTTTTCTAAGACTACTGTGTGAGTTTACGCTTTACACTTCGGAGTGCCTTGTTCAGATAGTCAAGGGGCCATCCGTCGCACTTTTCCAATGACAGCGACAGTGCCAGCCCATTTGGAAAATGCCCAATCCTGCCGTGAACAAGTGGCAAGACTGACGATGGCTGCACTGAGCACACAAAGATGTGTCCTGGCTGCAGTCATCGGCACCTGGCGCTGCTTTCTCCCAAGACGAATGCTCGCAGCACAGTTCCAGCTTACACAATTCCAGGCGTGTTGTCACTTTCCCTTCTGATTTCTAGGCTGACCTCTTGTAAAGCTGATTTGATTCATCCCGAGCCACCCAGGCAGTAGCAGACTTGGAAAGGTCCCGAGGCGGTCGGGTAGCCGAGATCGAAGGTGGCCCAGCTCCCATCCTGCGAACTGGAAGCCCCGGTTTGAAGCAGAGAAGACCTTCAGCCATGGCGCTGCTGCCACAGTCGTTGCAGCCGCTCGCGGCTGCAGGAAGGATGCACCGTGGCTCGCCTGGGCCGTCCTGGCGCAGCTTGACGCTTGCGCACCCTCTGCAGGCAAATCTGTTCTGCGCAGGCCTGCAAGGCTGTCGTCCCGGCACCACTTGGATGTAGTCGCCTTGCGAAGGTCAAAAACTAGCATGTCATCCATACGCACCTGTCTAGAAATGTTGCGTGTAGCAGGGCAGCGGCTGCAAATGCACAGTGTTGCTCGAAAAAACTGGATACACACCCACTTCAATCACAGTTGCTGCTTCGCATCTGCTGGCCACTGACGTTCAGCACCTGTCCCGTGCGCGAACCGGACTGTCAACATCTGACACGCGAAGGCCAACGCTGGTGGAAACGCGTGGACGCAAGTCCAGCTAAGCTCTGGACACAGGAGACATTCGAACTGTTCTGCAGCGTCACGCGCGAGGCACCATCGACGCCGACCAAGGCTCCGGAAAGATCAACTCCCATGTTGCAGAAGAAGCCTCCATAGATACTGTAGCATAGCTTCAGTCGCGATCAAATCCAAGCTGAGCTGAGTCGCCGAGCTCCCCTCTGGCTGTGGGGCCCCTCCAGAACTCGCAGCCATCCAGGCAGGCAGATTGGAGATTGCTGTGGGCTGAGCAGCTTGGAGCCCAAGCCTCGGCTCGGTGGATGCAATCCAACAACACGCACTCTGCGACGCGCATTTCGCTTGCCGTTTCTTGCAAGGCAGGCGTCCTCGCAGCCAGACGCGTTGACTTGGACCAATTGTTGAACCTGTCCGAACTTGAAAAAGCCTCCTGAATCCCAGTGAATTTAAAACAGCCGGGGACAGGTCAAGATCTGACCTCGATGGCATGTGCCTGTTTCCTTGCCTACAGTCTTTGGTGCACGAAGACCTGCAGGCACTACGAAATGCACCGGCCCTCAAACAAGGCCGCAGCACCCATAGCGGCCATTCGAAGTTCAGCAAGGCCGCATCTCCGGTGGCTGGTGGCAGCTCCTGGGCCAGGGCAGGTTTCAACGAGACGCCTGCTACGATATCCCCTCCGCCAAGACTTGGGCTTCTGCCATCGAAGACATGCTCAAGTTCTTGCAGTCACGCGTGCTGCAACGGACCCAAATACATTCCAGGTGAGTCAGGATCTTCGCCGTCGGACTCGGGCTTCCGGACTATTTTGGGAGAAGGGTCTGTTGCCCGCGACTATCAAACGCTACCACCGTCTGCGGGCACCTCTACAGCCATCCCGTTCTCTGCAATCGTCCGTCGAGCAAGCAGGCCGCAGCCCGTGTAACCTGCTAACAGCAGAACAGCGACTGAGGTGCCGCAAGCAAGCTCGGACAACATGAAGTCCTGGTCTCAACCATATGCAAGCAGAGGGCAATGGCTGCGTGCACACAGCTCATCAAGCTCGCCATCCTCGCCTGGAGAGGGTACTCAGCTTGTGGTGGTCACTGGCCGTTCATTCGTCAACGTCAACTAGGACTTCCCAACGATGCTGACTCGATCACCATCCCGTGCCCTCTGTCGAGTGCCACCTGGCCTGTGGAGTTGCTTTCGGCGTCCGGGTCCTTGAACAATCACAAGATCAAGACAGCACTGGCCAGGCAACGACAACACGTTGCTGCTCCGCATACGACCCAACCCTTCTTTACGGCCGAGAAACCACAGCCAGCCGCAAAGGACCTCGCAAGGCGAGCCCCCAGGGTGCGCCAAAGTTCCTGGGTTCAAACAAAAGGAAACCGATTCTGCGAGGTGCCCAAGTTTGAAACTCTCGCGGCCTACATGCTCACATCGTGGACGGCCCGAAGCCGAGCCGGAAATGTGACAGAGAAGTCCAAAGCCACCAAAGCCTGACTCACCTGTAGCACAGCGTCCCTGCAAGACCAAGTCGTAGGAAGCGCGCCACGGGACCGTCAGGGATCTGCGCTCGATTGCTGAAGGGGAGGCTTCGGGCCGGGCTGAGGGAATGTGGCACCCCAGCCACCCATGGCAGTGAGCGGCCATGCCGGGCCATGCCTCCACAGTCACGAGCGTTGACTCCAAGGATGGAATGCCTCAGAACGACGAGAACCCAGTGCTCCCCCCAAACCCCCGGCAACTTCCCATCCAAGCGGCCAAACTCGACAAGGTCCTCCCAAGGGCCCAGGGCGTCGTGGGCAGATTGCAGCCGTGCCTCGAGCTGCAAAACCATCTGACAGTCTGAGAACGTCTGCAGTTTGCAAGTGTTGATCCCTTGGTACCGCCGGCCTCCTTCGGATTCTCCGCTGTACCCCAGAGCGGCAGCATAAGGCGACGCGGTTGCGAGGCCTCGCCCAAGTCCAGAACCAGCCACTGGTCCTGGCTGGGCGGCGGAGACTACCCACGCCACGCTCCCCAAATTTCGGAGCCAATGCTCCTGGATCGCGTTGAAGGACGAGCGCCACTGTCCCCCGCTCCGCAAGCCCAGGTTTGCGGCAGCAAAGGTGCTGTTGTCATACTGCGATGAGAAGTCGACGACCTCGTCTCAAAAAAAGACCCTACAGATCGGATCCTGCAGCCTGGAAACGATTCAGAAGCAGCAGACCTTCTCCAGGACTGTCTATTTGGCTTGCGCCTTTCAAGTTGAATCCGTCTGCTTGCGCCCTCCATTCGCCGAGGTTCGCCAGGGATCACCAGGCGAGATCGCTTCTGTCTGCAGGCTTCCGGATACTTGTCGTGGCAACGCTGCCAGCAAAGGCGCACCTCCAAGTAGCGGATTCATCAGACTCCCTAGACAGCGACTTGCGGGTGTCTAAACAAATTTCGGCGTTGGTTCTGGCGATGGCACTGTTCCCTGAAACATTGACTTCCGAGCTCAGCCGCGCAGCCTGCCTCGGATGTGTGGTTCAAAACCTTGGATAGGCCCTACACGCCGGGGCGAAGCTACTTGTAAAGTTTGGGTATGTTTGGGTCCTCCTATGCCCAAAGATTCGAGAATCGACTTCAGACAAAGCAGACAGGATATCCCTTGACTCAGCCTGCAGGCCTTCCATCATCAATCTTGTGCCCTCTAGTGACTCTAGTGTCGGTGCTGTCACGGACGCAACCAACTTGACGGCTGAATCTGCTAAGCACACCACGACGAGGCGTCCCAGAGGTAAGTTGAAGTCGTTCCTCCAAGCCCCCCATGCAGCTGTCAGAGCACATTCTACAAAAGCAACATTACCGAAGCAGTCCTTGATTGGTGGCAGTTTGGGTTGTTTCTCGCGCATGTCAGCTCACCTCGGCACTCTTGCACACGAAGAGCCAACAGACAACAAATGGCTTCCATCTCCCGCCTCCCTCCAGTGTGGCTGCAGGGGTGTTGAGTGCCGTTCCGGAACCTTGCCCAGTGACCTGCCAAGCTGACAAGTTCCAATTCGTGCCACTGAGCCAGTTGTCGGGCGCGGCTGCCTGTGTAGTGCCAGCGATGCTGGCCGCAGTCGCTGCCACGCAGTTCGGATTCTGTTGTGGGCACCAGCACCTGCGCCAAACTAGACAGCAACACAAGCAATCTCGTGAAGCTTGCGTGGTGCCCTCATGTGCCCTCGAAGCTTTCGCCCAGGCGCAGCCCGTAAACGTGGCCTCCAACCTAGCCATCGGCAGCTAACAATTGCGACGACATGTCACCCAGGCGCTGCCGAGGCGCGGCATATGGTCTGGGAACCTCCCAAGTGTCACCCCACGTCTGCAACTCCAGGTTGAAGACCTGGGCACACAGACGATGTGCTGCAGTCTGCAATAGTCTGCAGCTTTCTAACCTGCCGCGCCATGGCAGGGCTGTGACTGCGCATCAGCTTGGAGTTTTGTATGAGAGTGCGGCAGAAAAAAGCACGCCTACGCCTCCGAGTGCCACCAAACTGCGTCCACCGTGCTCGGCAGGTCCGCGCCGAAGAAGAAATGGCTGCCGTTGCTCGTGCTTGGCATGGACAGGCTGTTCCCGGGCCTCAGCAAAGGCCGACCAAAGGCTGAAACATCCTAGCACCCTGCACTCCCCACCCGAGCAGGTACAAACGTTCTCTTGTGCCGGAGAACCATCCCGGTACAGGCAGACCATCGGCACAGGAGAAGCGGTCCAGGACCAGCAACCTACAAGTACGAGCAAGGTCTGCGAGCTGGGGTGGTGCTGACGGATTTCAGCAGCTATAACTTGCAAGACGACGGGAAGCACAAAATGTAAATATATCTTCCAAGAAAAGCAAAAAACCAGCTGCACGATTTCAGTCAGGGTCGTATGGATTCGCTCCGGACAGCCAGACAGAACGAGTCTTTCCCATCTGTCTTACACAACCCATACCGATCCGAAGATGCCTGTCACCATCTGTCAGATCTTCGCCAAAGACGTCCGAAATGTTGCACTCGGAGGTGAAGTTTGGCCTTTGACGGAAGCTTTAGCCCTCTTGCAGATGTGGAGCAGCAAACACCCGAAATCTTCGTAAGCGCAATGCGTTGGGGGCGGACGGCCATAGCCGAAGCCCAGCCAACCTGCCCGCTCAGCGCAACATGTGGGGGGTTCGATGCAACCGCATTGTTCATTAAGTCCTGGTGGCTTTGGCTTTCGGGCATATCGAGAAGTCATGCGGTGGGCCTTGCAGGCTATGGATAGCAGGCTCGAAGCTTGCGATTCATCCTGCAGGGTTATCTTCGGCTGTGCCGCCCACTTGCCTGCTTCACTGTACTTGCCGAAGTCAGCACCGCCGCTCGGCAGAATCTCCACACTGCTGCCGAAGCCGGGATGGAATGCACTGATGGCAGCTTCCACAACACAGATCCAAGAGGTCTCGTGAGGCACAAGGCCTGGGCCACGGATTCTCAGGTGCCCTGCCTCCAGGCCGAAGTGCTCCGATGCCTGGCATCCTAATCCAGCGGCATCCGCCCCGCACCAACACAGTCGGAAGAGGCCGCCGGAGGCGGTGATGTACTGGTCTGTGCCGTCTCCCCACGTAAAGTTGGCGATGCGGCCCGCTGGAACCGTCAAGTTGACTGCTGCCGTTTCGGAGGTAGGCAAGGTGGCACCAGATCCCAAGCCAGCCGGTGGCGTGCCAGACCCACAGCTTGAAGCTGTCAGATTCCAGATCGACGAAGCCCGCTCGTACAAGGAAACCCCGGAGCCGCGAACTTCGGACAAAGCCATCAGCCGGTCACCCGCCGCCAGACCGACACCAAGGATGCCGGGCACATCGCACGCCAAGCTTGCTCTGCACTCCGCATAATGGCCTCGAAGGGGACCCACATACTTGCTGACCCAAGACCGCACCTGCAAGTCCTCCCAGCCCAAGGTGTGGCCCGTTTGGCTGTCGACGATCTCCCACGGAATCGGTATCAAGGCTGATGCCCCGATCTCATTCTCCCACGAAGCTTCGGCCTCCCGCACTCTCAACGTCCATCCTCCCAGCCGCCCCCTAGAAGAGCTGCCCACCGCGAGGGCATTTGCCGAGGAGAGAGCGTACCAGGTGGCAATGCTGTAGCGGCAAAGCTCGTATTGGTCACTTCGCAAAGACTTCACACCGTTCACCTCCGTCCACCTGCCACCAATGGCAAAAGCAAATGGACATCTGCCGGTGGCCTACCTTAACGGCCTACACCCGAAACGGTCTTGTATTGCACTGTGCAGCAGCATGCATTCACCAGCCTTTCAACCTGTGCAAGTAGAGTACCCTCTTGAACTCTGAAGTTGCGCCATCTAGCTTGCTGATAAGCCACTGATCTGGCACAGAATACGCGAGCACTTGCGTTCCCGTGGCACCTGGGTCACGAGATTCTGCAGTATTCTATGGTTTTGGTGAGGTTCTGCGGCGGTACAGTTCTTTTGTTATACTTTTTCTCACAACCTGAAGCTTCATTGGCCAACTTCGTCAGGCGTTGTTCAAGAAAACTCACTGCGGCCATCAGTGCTGACCACCCAGGCCGTGCTGAGCGAGGCGTCCACGGCTGCCTCGAGTGCAGAAAATCAGTAGCCATTTCGGATGTCCCTGATTGGTGCCCGACCTCGAAGCCCACGGTGGAGCCGTTCCAGCGACCGGGAACCGACACATTCAAAGAATCTCCAGCACAGTCCTGCACAGACAGCTGGGGAAATCCAAGTCCAGGCCTCAGGCGTCGTAGGCGCTGGGCACGCGGATACTGTAGGAACTGGGCTTGTAGCGTTTTATAAAACACTACTTCTCCGCCCATCCTGGAAGCTGACCTCCGCGATGACTGCCTGGTAGGGTCTGGGACATTGGAGCAAAGTCAGGAAAACTTCCCCCACCACTTGGCAAGGCGGCCTCTGAGTCTGGAAACTCTGTCAACTCCAGCTGCAGGTGCCCAATGGTCTGCACAAGGACCTCCAAGGAGCCTCAGGCCGCAGGCAAGGGCGAAATCCCGGCTATCCTCTGGCTCATTCCCCCGCCTGCTCGCTCTTGAAAGTCCAAGCTGTTTGCGCAGCTTGCCAAGGCTGAGCACCAACAGAGCTGATAGCCTCGATCAGGGATCGGAAGATTCATGGATGACAAACGGGGGCGGCCCTGACCATCTCATCTGGCCACGTGGCTCCCAGGAAGGAGCTGCAAGAGCGACCACGATAAGTCCTGGACGATCCCACCACCGCCTTCAGAACCGCCATCGCAGACTCCAGAGACTGCTTGGTTTGCAACACGCATCCCGCCTTCGTCGTGAACGTGCTCTGTGGTGTTGAATGCAAACCCAGACAAAGAAGCACCTGAGAAGGCCGTGGCGCTTTGCTGCTCCTGCCTAACATCTTCGTGACACTGCTTCGCTCACTGCTTTGTCGCGCGCCTGGAAACTCACCGCTGCTGCCACAAGTGCCTGTTGCTGGCTGCAGCAACACCTGATCACCATCATGCAATGGGAACCCGACCTTGGTAGCAACAAAACCCACGGTTTGCCACCACACCGGAACAGCTCAAAGCCAGGGGGCTAGATGTTCCACCTCACACGGCTGGCCAACGAAGCAGCTGCGCTTGTTCTCTGCGAAGCCCACAACCGTCAGCATCCCAACTTCAATTTTGAAACGCTCGGCCCTGTCACATGGGAGAGTTTCATGGGCCTGGCGGGAGCACCAGCACATTTTGTATTTGCCACCTGTCGAGATGGGATCGGAGCCCCAGGTGAATGTGGCACCGTTGTCTGTCGCGGGCAGGGAGCGCCCGAAGTCCGGGAATCCAAGGATGCCACGCGTTGCGAAGTCCATGAGAGTCGTTTCCGTGTCGGTGAGGCCTGTTCCCGTGCGACAGCTCTCCAGCAGCATGAGCCTGTCGCCATCTTCCAAGAAGCTGCCGGTGATGTTATAGATGGTACAGCTTTGGGAGCTGACACAGGTCCGATCTTGCCCAGACCGGGGGCCGGCAATTGTGATGGCCCCTGCATCGATGGCAAAGCCGAGAGGGGAGCTGCAGTCAGAACCAGAGCCTCCCCCACACCAGCACAGCCGATATGCGCCATTCGGAGCACGCACCTCCTCAGGACCGAAACTGATGGTCAAGTTGTTGTACTGGAGCCTCTCGCCCAAGTAGTCCGACTGTGTAGCCTTGCTCGAGCGCTGCGATCCGGGTACCACGCAATAGTCCGGGTCGGCGCAGGCAGTAAACCCTGAAGCTTGGGCGCAGGTGCTCATGATCTGGACCAAGTCTCCATCCTGAAGATTCACGCCCTGGAGCTCGCTCAAGCTGCAGCGCTCATAGGTTGCACAGGCGAAAGCCTGGAAGCCCACAGGAGCTCGCACCACCACGCTCCCAATGTCTGCATTGAAGTTCTCCGCAACAGCGCCTTGGCTGAGGCTGCAATCACTGTGTGCGCAGGGTTGCCGGCTTTGTAAAACGGACGAACTGAATGCTGCCGTCTGGCAGGACCGCCCGGCCTGGCACCAACAAAGCCGGTATTCGCCTCCTTTCCTCACACACATCCGTTTTGCGAACTCTGCACACATGTCGTTTGCTGCAGTTTCGCCTGTCGCCCATCGCGTCTGCATTCAGCCAAAGGCGCGCAGTGACGAATTCCTCGCCAGTCCCCCAGATGAAGGCCGAGCCCTGCAGCATGAAACTGGGATGTCTGTTTGCGCTATACGCACAGATCCGCTACGATCTGCTGCAAACCTCGTGCTAAAGCGAACCTCCTCAGTGGCGGGGTTGGAGACACCTGCGTTGGGGAATCCATCCACCATCGCACCAGGAACGCCACCTCAACTTCTATGCAAGAATCGCACGAGCCTTTGACATGACGAGGCCTTGATGCTGCAGCCAGCCCGTGGCCGTGTTAGTACTCGTCACTCCAAAGCACACAGGCTTATGGTTCTCCATTTCAGGCAAGGAGCACGTCTCGAGAACCATCAATGTGTCTCCGTCTTGAAGTCCTTAGTGCAGAATGTGACTTATTTCAGCTCAAGCTGCAGAAGCACCGCGTATTGGTATACTGTTTTTAGCAGCTGCAGCTTGGCGGCCCAATCCAGCAAGATCGGTGATGTTGTAGACGGTGCCTCCGACTACATCGCGGTTTTGGTCTGCACACTGACCGGGTGTGCTGATGTCACAGGAGACATAAGGCCCAACAACGCTAAGTTGGCCAATATCTAGGCCAAAAGCGCTGGGAGTGTTGCACTCATACCCTTTGGGACACCAACAGAGGCGGTACTCTCCACCTGCCAGTATGGCACCATTGAAGGCCCCCTGTGTGCCCCAGCTGAACATTGATCCGTGCTGCTCGGCCTGTAAGGAAACTCCTCTAGCCCGTCCGGGCACCTCTGGAAACCCCACGGCACCGGTTGCTCCTGCAAGCTCCGAGCAGGACACCATTGCCATCAAGCGGTCGCCGTTGGAAAGCCCGACTCCGCGAAAAGATGCGACCTCTCCAGCCTCGCCACAGGCCTGGCCAACATGGCACGTCCGCGAGTTCCCAAGGAAGGGGCCCTTCACTATGAGTATCCCGGCGGGAATCGCAAAGTTGACTTCGTCGGAACATCCCCGCGATGAAGGACACCAGCAAAGCTGGTAGTGGCCCGGCAAAGCCAACACTGGTTCGGGCCCGAAGCTGAAGTCAGCTGCATCCGTAGCAGGCTGTGACACACCGTTTTGTGGCATCCCACGCGCTGCCATCGGCCATCCTCCGGACGAAGAACCTCGCCCGCAAGGTGCGCCCTTCATGCGCATCACAGCGAGTCGGTCTCCAGCTGACAAGGCATAGTTCGAGGCTCCCAGGCCTGTCAGATTCTTCAACTGGCAAGGTGCTCCGTAGACACAAACTCCTGCCAGGTTTCGCAGGGAGATCAGCCGTCGAACCTGATGGCTGCCCTCGTCGGCTATGTAGAGGTCCCTCCACTGCAGCTTGGATTGAATTTCAGCCACGTCTATGGGAGCCACAGGGAGCGGCGGAAACACCATCTGCCCTGGTGATCGCAGAGATACACCATCACGGAAAGGCGTGGTGGTTGGCAGTGCTGCATAGCCTCCAACCCGTAATGGTGAGATCACCCCATTGCCCACGTAGCCATCAATGATTCCTGTCGAAGGGTCTATTCGCCGGATTCGGTTGTTGCCCCTGTCGGACACGAACACATAGCCCATAGTATCTACGGCAACATGTGCGCGATCCAGATTCAGTCTCGCCACTGTTGCGAGGCCACCATCGCCGGTGTCACCAGACAGCCCCAAACCAGCAAAGGTATCGATGATGCCTGTCGCATTGGTCACCCGCCGAATCCTTGAGTTTCCCTGATCGGCAATGTACAAGTCATCTGTGCGAGGATCAAAGGCAAGTCCAACCACATGCCGAAACTGTGCACTTGCTGCTGGACCACCATCGCCGCCAAAACCGTAAACACCATTTCCGGCATAAGTGCTTATCTGCGGTGTTGTGGTGTATACGATTGGCGTAGTGTTGCTGAGCACGACCACTCTGGAGTTCATGGCTACTTTGCGTACTCGGCTATTCAGCATGTCGGCAACGTAGAGGTCACCGAGACTGTCCACTGCCAGTGCTACCGGCCCATTGAGCATGGCCGTGCTCGCAGCACCGCCATCCCCAGCGTATCCAGGGACCGAGTCCTGCCCTGCGACGAGGGACAGCATGCCGGCTGCAGAGTAGGGGTACACGTCTGTGGAATTCTGTGTGGGCACTACCCAAACAACGGATGTGATGGCAACGCCAGCACCCGTAAATCGTGCTTCTGCGATGAAGACCCGACCGCTTTGATCAACCGCCAGAGCCACCGGCTCCAACGGTACTGTTTCAGCTGGGAGCGGCAAGCTGGACCATGCCCTCGATGACGTGGGTACGGCACCTGTGCCAGCGAAGGCACTGACAGTGCCCGGCGGTGTGACAACCCGCACTCTACGCTCCCCGGTGTCAGCAATGAAAACGTTGCCCTCCATGTCCACGGCCACACCTGGCCGAGGGTCACAGGATCCAACATCCAGTCCCTGCCCCATTTGCCTCTTCCCTGGCCTTGCGGGCTGTCCAGCTGCGCGGCAGTTGCAGAACCCCCGTCTCCACAACCGGAACTTGTACAGGCAACGCCTGTGCCTGCCAGAGTCTGCACAGCTCTCGGAGCATTCCTTGGCCGGTGCTTCGGAGGATTTGGGGCCCACACCATCTGTTTGCTAGCAAAACCTGCACATCCCTGCGAGCCCAAACCTGCCCCTTCAGGGAAGTTTTATGTCCGGACTTTTGTGCAGAAGCGTTTCTTGCGAAACCTAGAGGCTAGAGGAATTCTCTCGCTGCGGAAGAGTCGCGGCTCCCCGTCCGATCTCACACCCAAACCTGGCCACGCTCATGGAGTCGCGGGGCATCACATCTAGCAAAGCTAGTGAATCTATGCAACTCGATGTGAACCCAATGTTTGGGCACTCCAAGAAGGCAGTTCAGGCTTTGAACCTGTAGACGCCACAACCTTGAACCTGCCTTCAGTCACGGCCCAGGTCTGGGAAGCTTTGCTTGGATCGCATGCTGCTAGCACCTCGCAGGACAATAGAGGCAAGGCTGCACAGTACCAAGCATGCATCTTTTATCTTTAACAACATGTCTTCTCAGAGCCGTGCCAGAGTCACATCCCAGTCAGACGCATCCACACACGCACCCTGTAGCCGGAGCATGAACCTTTGCCAGTGCGATGTGTCCGCTTTATGCTGCTAGCCTCACGATCCAGACAGACCGTACATGCAGGAATAGATGCTGACTGGAGGCTGGTCCTCCGGTGGCTGCTGGCCAGTGATCCTAAGAAGCTTGACATGCTAAGTCCGGTTTGAGCACTTTCGTGCCAGCTTAGAAATTCGGGGATCTACCTTGTAGTCACGGCGGCGGTCCTGAACTGCTGGCGCTCGTCGAAACCGTCGCAAAGTGAAACCCTGACTCGATCGCCACTGCCAATCACGCCGTCACCTTCAAGCTCGCAATCCACCAAACTCAGCTGCCCCTCGTCACCTCATACGGAAGGTGGTCCGGCCTGAGTAGTCGTAGGCCTGCCAGCACAGCTCCGTGTCCAGGTTCCGGATCGTCTGGTCACTGAGGACCCATCGCTGCCCTTGGCATCCGCCAACCGGAACAACCGACACGGTCTGTGCTCGTGGACTGTTGATCATTCATTCGACCCAGTCATGAACTATAGCGGAACTCCCACCCTCTTGTTGAAGAACTCCCACCTCCACCCACCCGAATTGGGCCCTGAGTAGCCTTCTTGCTTGTATCGCCTGCACGCGAGAGCGTTCAGGCTTAGCACCGCAGTGCAGCTTGCTGCCCGGGGGCCGCTTCCGACACAGCTGCCCAAGGTCACATCGTGGTGTATACCGTCCTGGCGCAATCACCCACTTAGGGTTGCTAAGCGTCCACATGTCAGACCTTGACCGTTCCTGCCACCAGTGCGACACGACATCTGCCGTTGTTAAGCGAATGCGATTTCCGATTTCTATCTCTCCGCCAAGAAGCAGCCGGGATTGTTGCACAAATCCTAGGAAAGCGCAGCATGCATCAAGTCAGCATCCGCACTTGTGCCTGACGACTAGTAGGAGGAACGGCTGCAACAGTCGCGGCAGCTGAAGCCAGGGCACGGTAGCACGTCGCCCACCCCAGTGGTGAAACCTCCGGCAGTGGAAGCGCAAGCCTCGTCCTGGCAGGCGACCTGCAGAAGACACTTCCCAGTAGACAGGCTTCGACTGCGCTTTGACTGCGGAAGTGTCTCAGGCACCTGGATGAAGTACACTCCGCCATCCCGGAAGAGGGGCGCCTGACAGTGGAAGCCAAGGTTTATGGCTTCAGCCGCCACGCCGTGTTGTTTGTTGATAGCGCAGTAGCCCCAGGCCAAAACCAAGTGTGTGACGCTGCATGTGTCGACATCTACCTGGAGCAGAGCCTTCCTGTCAACCATCTTGCAAGTTCCTACTCACGCCCTGCCATCGCCTCTATCTGAGAGATCTTTTCCATGGAATGGCCACCTGAACCCAAAGCGATCGACGTTACTTCCTTTCCTGTTCCATCCGAGGTGCTTGTGGCAAGTGACTTGTCGGCCCAATCAGTGATGTCCGCGCTGATGCGCACAGTCTCTTGCAAGATTGTGCTTCTCGGACTGAGGAAAGGAGGACCGGACCCAACAAGCCGAGTTGCTGTAGACTTTGCCTCCTTGGAGGATCAAGGCATCAGCGTGGCCGTCGTCGGTGGCACTGTTGATGCTTAAGCCGTCCTGGACGAACCAAGTGAGGCAAAAGGTTGAAGCAAACACCGACCCGGCAAAAACATCCACGAACACTCTTGTTAGAATCCACGCACCCGATATGTGGAGCCCAGCTGCAAAGAGTAGAGCTCCGCGTCGCTGCGCATCTCGGAAGCGCAGCCGCACCACCCGCTGGAAGCCAGGAACGCTTGAGGAGACCTCGGCTCGAACGTCTCAGAATCAGGGCTCAGAGCTTCATGGGAGAGGACTCATGCACAGGTCATGTACACAAACTGGCACTGGGTGCTGCTAAGGCTCATAAATACTTGCCCCATCGGATAGGATAGCCTGCAGGCTGCGTCACCCATGCTCGTTGTACTTTCGTTTCGAGGTTGTCCGGTTGTTGCTGTCCAAACCAACAGAGACAAGCAGGCGAGCAAGAATTGTCCCCAAATTGCTGCAATCATGAATCCTCGACTCGAAAAGGCCCTGAAGATCCAAGGCAGGGTCCTTGACGTCGCCCTCCAAGCCCTCGAAGAGCAGCTCGGCGCTGTCGAGGGCCATCTTCTCCGTGCTGACCTTCACCACATAGGCAGAAGATCCTGTGATCCGACTCGTCACGGGCTTTTGCAGCTGCTTCTGCGGCTGTTGCTGCTAGTTGTTTCTGCTGTTCTTGTCAAGAGTTCCTCGTGGCCTTGCGTGTGCTGACGTTCCCGCGCTACGTACTGCTACTGCTGCTCCTCCCTTCTACCACGACGACGACGACGGCAAAACCCAAGGCGATCACATCATGCGATCAAACTTGACAGCCGGCCATCCTGCCAGAAACAGGTAGCCGCCAGCGACCGTCACTGCCGCAATGGTTGGTATCCTCAGCCGGCAACTCGTGAATCTCAACAAGTCTGCAAGGCAGGATGGGCACAGAAAGCGCTTCCCATTTTTCGCTAACTCACGCGCTGCATTCCCGTGCAAAGAAAGCGTCGTGGAGTACGGCAGGACGGCGGCAAAGGAAGCGATGAGGCTGAGATCCTCCTTTCGAAGCCTCGGATGCAAAGGCCGAAGGCCGCTGTCTTCCTCCCTTTTGGCCCGGCTCCGTGGTGACGAAAAGTGCCACTCCACACGTCCGCCGAGTGCAACCACAAGGCTTTAAGACCAGGCCCACTGAGGCATCGAGTTCCTCCCGAACACGGCAGGAGATGGCAGGAGGGCTATCTACGAACTCAGCGATTGCTTCTCCGTGCTGCACCTGCCCTGCTGCATAGAGATGGCCCTCGTCCGCAGCCAAGGCAGCCAGCGAGCGCGCGCTCACAGCACTGCGCTGCACCCGCGAGACGAGCTCGAAATCTGCCGGGCTGTAGGCAGCGCTGAGCTTCCGCGTATCTCCGTACTCGAACTTCAAGACCACTGCAGGATCTCAGCTGCGAAGATTGGGCAACAAACCGCAAAGAAAACCTTGCAGAAGACGCTGGGAATAAGCTTGCTCACGCGACAAAGCGAGACAGAAAGACAAAGGCTGTGTTGTCAGGAGAGGCACAAAGCACACGACACAGATAGTTACCCGTTACCCACCTTCAACAGATCGATTCAAACAGAAATAACTAACATTTAACACGCTCTTCAGCCCTGAAGCCAGTCTCGAGTCCGAAGTAGGCGTAGTCCGCGTCACTCGTGCCACACTCCACGAAGTCGTCACCGACATCCAAGGTGATGGCACCCACCTGAAGCTGGGTCGGGGGTTTCGGCACTCACATTCGGGCAATACGACGCAAGGATCCCGAGTCGAAGTCGGCGCAGGTTGATTGATGTCACACGTTTCAACTCAACACTCCAAATCTGCAACATCGCGGTCGCCAAAACAAAGCTCCGAATCATCCGATCAGATGCGAAACCCAGAATGGCAAATCCGTAGCTTTCGAACTTTTCCCACTTGCCCAGCTGACTGGAGTCGCGCCGCAGGGAGCATCAATCCGAACTGAACATTGTTGATGCAAGTCCAAGGTGTCCTACACTCCGAAAGCGCATACCCAACGAAGTTAAAGACCCGATGAGAAAGAGAGGAGAGCAAGGACGAGGACGCCGAAGTCGCTTTCCAGAAATGACCAGTACCAGGGGACCACGACTAGCCCTTTCTAACCCCAAATACCTCGAGGAGCTCTGCAAGGCTCGAGTCGCCAGAGTTCAACGAAAGAGCTGGGTAGGGAGGCTCAAAGAAGCGATCCCTGCAGCCCTGCCCGCCTGTTCGAAGAGTGGAATCCGGAACTGCAGAATTTGGCCTGCCACGCACGAAGCTGGCTGCGACAGGTCTACATAACTAGTACACGTGCACGAACGAAGTGTACCCGACGGCGGGCCTGGGGACGTGCGGAGGCCGAAGAGCACGAACTCGCCGTTTGTCACTGCCACCCGCGGTGTCAGCTCGCCAGCAGCAAGGGTCACCACGCTGTGGACGCTCACGTCGCTGAGCCTTTGAAATTGAAGCTGGGGGTGGTGGATACCAAGATCGACAGACTGAAGATGCAACTGGGCTGCAGGAACTTGACCAGCTTCCCGGCGGAGATCGCTGGAGAGGTGGCAGAGCCTGTCCGGCGCTACTCCGTCTTGTATTCGTCACGTGGTAGATACAAGAGTGACACAAGGTTCTTGTGTTGATAGGGGGGGCCTGGTGATGGTTGCTTAGTGCCACTCAAAATCATGTGAATGCCCCTGGAGCCACGGTACAAAAGCCAATCTGGAGACATCCCACCCTTGCAAGAGAGAGAGAGAGAGAGTTGGAACCGCATGGGGTGTGAGGTGCAGGATGAGTGCGGAATTGATCGCAAGCTTGTGTGCACACCTCCGCACACACACGCGCACACAACCCTTCTCTCTGCGCAACTAGTGCTGCTCGTGTGCAATCGAAGCACCTGCGTATCCAAAGAGGCCATCCGTGGTAAGAGCACGAAACCCGAACGTGGAGCCGACGCCGATAGAGGTTCCGCTGCGGGCAATGGTCCTGGCAACAGCCAGGAATCGTGCAAGCATGCATAACTTTCCGAAGTAAGTGATTCGAGAGAGCACAAGCCATAGGCCACAGTTCAGACAAGAGGCCGGCGCAGCAAACCGCTGGGTTCGTCTTCCAGAAGTACCTGGAAACGCAGATCACTGCACCAGTCAGAACTCGCTAAACCTGAAAGCTACTCGAACAGCCCTGCCGGCCTCAGAAAAAACACAAATCAAGGCATGATTCCCCGCACTGTTCGGTGATAGAGATCTCCCAGTTCGATCACGTACCACATCGAGTTGTATCCACTGTACGATTGTGGAGGGGAAGAAACGACCGATCTTGTAGGGCCATACGTTATGCCCTGCAGCCCTACACCAGCCAGCTAGCTCCTCCACCTCAAGCTGTGCATCAACTCCACAACTTCAGACTTGAACATACCTGGCTCCATCGCAGCCCTGCTCTGCTGCACGCTCCAATCGTCCGCAAAAAACCCTGAACTGCCTTGGACATTGCCTTCATCCTGCGCCTTGGACTGGCAAACCCACACCCGAGCCCACGCCACTCCCGCTGAGATGTGGCCTGCCGCAGTCGCCTGCCGCCCTGCTCCGAGATCCAGAGTCGTGAGCCCCGCAGCTCTAGATAGGCAGGCCTCCAGAAAAGCTGGCCCAGGGCACCAGGCAAGTGTAACTGAAGCAAACTATGCTTCAGAACTTCAGGTGTAGATCCTTGCATGACGGCTGCGACGCAATGCACCGTCCTGCTGCTCCAACCCCTTCAAAGCCTGTAAGCCCGTATGCTCCCAGCCTGTTCACTTGCGCCAGCGTACTATGACCGAAGTCCCCGGTGCTGGCGGCTGTCCTTCGATCGGGGATTCTTTGCAGAGTCTGTGTCTGTGGGCTTGAGCTTCGAATGCGTGACATTCCCTATCAGCCACCAATCGGAGTCATTGCACTGCCAGGTTGGCAAGTTGCAGCAGTCGACTCCACTGTAAGCTGTAGTAAGCCATACAACGCTTGAGCTTGGACCTGTTCCAAGTAACCGCCTCCGAGACGCCCGCTGCCAATCAGCGTCGTGATCTCGTTGGAGATGAGGTCCACACGCCTCCGGCAAGCCCTACTATCACTTGTTCGGTGCCTGCCCAGGGCCTGGCACTTCATCGATGTCGAAGACTTGGGAAACTTCTGCGGGCAAACTTAAACTTGGAACTGTGTGCGGTCGGCCTCACTCGCTGGTTCAAGGCGTCCGCGATGTACAGGTGATCCAGATGACGTGCGATCCTGGAGTGGGCGAAGCCCGACTAGTCCCAAGAAGCCGCTCGTAGTTCTGCAAAAGCTAACTGAAAGTTGACAAGCTACGCGGAAGGGTAGTTAAGCGAAGCAGAGAGCGCATCACCACCGTCTCCGGAAAAAGCCACCGCACCATCGCCAGCCACGGTGGAGATAAGCCCGGTTGCGAGGTCCACCACCCTTCCGGGCGGCTTACGCTCTCAGCCATGCGCTGAGCCCAGGAATGGCATGCAAAAGCAAATCACTGTGCTTAAGACCCTGCGGCCCGGGCTCTCCAAAGAGTTTAGTCTGAACTACGCCCCTGAACTAACTCTGCCCTGCCCTGCCCACAAAACCCTCAGGCCCCCAAAGCGCGACCAGCAAAGCTTGCCTTACTCGATGATCACCATCTTCAATCTCCGAGTCGTACAGAAGCGTACCGAAAAGCAAGAGGCCTCACGACAGGAAAAGCAGAGCACTCGGCCAACACGGCATCACAGATGTCAAAGCTCCTGCAGCTCAGTGCCCTTGCCAACACCGAAAGGGCTGGATCGAAACCCTCGTGCCTCTGGGGTTGGCCAGGCGCGCGAGGGTAGCCAGCCCTCCGTCCCCTTCGAAAACGCCCGAGTTGAATCCCGTGGCTCCTGCACCCGCATGCAGACTGCATCAAGGATCCATTGGATGCGAAACTCTTCAGCTGCAAAAGTGCTGGGCTGGCGGATGTTGGTCATCTATGGCTGTGCGAGTGTCTAGACTGCCCGAACTACACCCTGCATACGTCCCTGGAGGGGTTTCCACTCTTCGCGACTCGCCTGATCCTGCAACGGTGGACAGAGTGTTCGTCTGGACATCCAACAGCCGGATCCTCAGTCACAAGCGACGCCATCAAGGGCTACAGCGGCTTCGAGTACTGTGTTCTTCCCTTGGTGGACTCGTCCACCCTTCTATTCGCAGAGGCGCCGATTGTTGACCGAGTCTGTGAAGTACACCTGGCCCAGCTGGTTCACCTCCACCGCATGGGGCGCGTCCAGCGTCCGAGACAATGCGGCACCTGCTGCGTCGTCTCCAGTAGTGAAGCCTCTGGTCCCGGTGCCTGCCACCGTTGTCACTGCCCCAGTGGCCATGTCCAACTGGCGGATGAGATGGTTTGCAGAATCTGCAATGAAGAGCCGATCTTGCCAGATGCCCAAGCCGGCAGGCTCAGAGAACTCTGACAACAACGGGTTTGCGTTGTCCACGGCACCGGCTGTGTCCCGGACTCCGGCCAAATCCCGCACTGATGCAAACTTGCACACAGCTGGGCCGGATACAAAAGCAGGATTGTCGTCTGTTTGTATGAAGCCTCCAGCCCCAGAAGATGTGCTCTCCAAGAGGGTGCATGTGCCAAAGCCCGTGCTGCTGCCGGAAATGTCAATCATGAAGTTGAAGTGCTCACAGCCAGTCGTGGATTGACATACATCTTGGCACTCGCGTGCAGACCTTGACGAATGCCCTGACAAGGCTTGCCCGCTTGTGATGTTCGTCCCAGGCTGCAGGCAGAAGCGAGCTCCCAAGTCAATGCCTGCGGTCAGATGAATTGGCCAAGAATCAATTTAAAAACTCCCCAACCGACTGTATAGGCTGCGAGCCACAGTGCCTCGGATCACCTGTCGGGATCGCTCAGCCTGGCGGTGATGCGCTCCCACAAGCCGTGCCCAACCTAACAATTGATGCCTGGTAGAGAGGTGCGCCAGCTGGGCCACTGCCCTGTGCCAGGCCGCTTGGCTCATCCACTGGTACCTCCTCGCGGCTTCAAGGGGAGCTCAAGCCCTAGGTTTCTACTTGGGGTCCGGTCCTCTGCACAGTCGTCGCCATGTGGTCCATCCTTAGTTCGAGCATGCTTTTCAGCAAAACTGATTCAAGCATCGCTCCACTCCTAGGTCCTAGTTATGAACTCGTCAAACCACAGCAGAGCTTTCTAAGCCAGATTTACAGAATCCAATCGAATTGAATCCCAGCGGCCAGCCCCGCGGTACCGGTCCCGGCAAAAGTCAGAACCTGGGGATGTCAGCTTTGGAGTCGCAAGGTCTCAAGCAGTTCCAGCTCCAGCATCCGAGGTGCCTCGCCCAATCGAGCCGTGCGGGAAGTGACCGGAGCTTGGCCCTGAGACAAACCAGAAATTTGCATCCGAGCTGTACGCTCCAGACGTTTGGGCTTCTTCAATGCTTCTCCCCTCGAGAAATGCCTCAGGGCAGTTTGTTCTCGCAAGTTCTTCCGGCCTGCCAGGGACCGGAGGACAAGTCTGCAGCATCATCGCAATGGCGGAGTGGCAGATAGCCCCAGCATCCCTCGGACAAGGCACGGAACTATCTTGCACGAAAGATGTGCCACCCCATGCCCGACCATTCGTGGCAGAACTGCCTGTAATCATGCGGCCAACAAGGCACTCCTCTGCCTTGACCCGCATACTAGCATGCAACTGCTTGGCTAGCCAGGCCTGGAAGCTGAGGCAGTCCTCCGCCATATGGAAGCGAAAGAAACCCCTGTCAAGCACGGAGGTTGCACAAGCATTCCGAAACCATCAAAGTGCTGTACTCCATGAGCCCTCGCCACCTCGGCCACTCCGCATAGCTCCGGCCCCACATCCCAGTCACAGTGGTGCCGACAACTTGCCTCACCCGACGATCGCGGCACAAGTTAACGTTCTCGCTCTCTCCGTGTGCTTCGTCGAGTGGATTTTCGAGGACGAGGGTAGTTTGTCAACAGAGGGGTTCTGCTTGAGCCTAGCAACACGTTCCACAGGATCTGGCTCGGCATGCCATACCAACACTGGGTGCTGGAGCTGTTGGCACAATCGCCGTTCCCAACGTGCAGAAAGCCATAGTCGGACTTCATGCACCTTATATTTCGCAGTCTTACGATGGGGTTGCACCTGCAGATAGCTTTTCGGCCTGGAATCACGCCTACAGCCTTTCCTGGGACGGGCTGGAGCGACAGGCACGGGGGGAAGACACCCAGAAAAGAGTAGCCGAACAGCCACGAGACTGCAGATTGAAGAGGCTGCACTCGGTGTACCTCATGTAGAGCTGCCGTACCTGTCGACTGAATCCCTGTCCATGGAGGACCTCTGCTCTTCTTTAGTACTCGAGGCCCCCCAACCTTTGCCCTCGACCTTTCAATCCCACGGCGTGAGGCCCTGGACAGCACCTCCGATGTGACCAGGGCCCGAGAATAGACCTGGACCTCGTCCAGGAGTCCCCTGAAGTACACCTGGCACCAAGGTAGAGCCGATATGGTGCGACCCTGCAAAAGTGCAGTCAAAGGGAGTACCAACCAGGAGTTCCCTACGTTGATGGAATTTAGAAACTTCCGGCAGAAGCCCATCTCCTGATCGAACAGAGGACACAGCACATTAAGAGACGGAAAAAAGACTCGCGAGTCGATGACCCCATTCCGCGCAAACAAAGCTTTCTAAGCCGACAGCACCTGAAGTGAAGAAACAGACTCGGATGCTTACTTCTCTGTGTGTCGCTGACTGGCTTCTGAAGCTGAAACGGCGGTGGATGGCAGTGGCAGGTGGAGTCAACATGACACACCGGGATGGGCTTTCCTCAGCCTCGGCCTTCCATCTGACCAAACCGCCGCAGGAACCGGCAGAAACCCTGGTGGCTACGTGGCTCTCGCCTTACCCTTAGCC